TTTGAGTGATTTGACACCTCTAACTTCAGCGTCAAGTGAACACTATTCTAAGTTTCTAAGAAAAGTGAAGAAGTATGTGATGTTCAGAAGTATTCACTATTACATCAGGAAACATTCTGTCCAAAAATCTAATGAACATATTAAAATCTTTCTTCCCTCGGGCATTACCTCTTCCTCTTGAGACCAAACTCCGCAGATTTGAGATTTAGAGTTCAGAAAGCAACAGTGCTAGCTGTTCATCAGACATCTTAATTTCAATACAAGCTCCCAATGATGCAGCAAGCCTTGCGGCTAATTGATGCTTACACTAGAAAAAAGAATAAAAAGTGAAACCAAAACAATTAAATGCAAGAACATGATGATAAAAAGATTCACTAAAATGATGGCTAAAACAGAACACTATCTTACACATAGCTGTTCTCCTCTGTTAACAATGTCATAAAAGAATGAATAACAAGCACAATAGTGTTCAGCAAAACAGAAATACTCCTCCTTCCTTCTTGATTCTCCCACAACCTAAATCAAAAACAATGTTGAGGAAAATAACTTAGTCTTCTTAGTAAATTTTCTTGGGTTATAGTTAAACAGCATTGCCTAAATCTCTAGGGTTCAAACCCTTTCTTTTTTTTTTTGGGTACTTCTAATGACTGGGGTATAAAACGAGGAAATAGTCCTCTACTTTCCCAAATCCGTCCCCACCCATCCCAACGTTTGAACTTGAGAACTCCAACTTGAAGTCTCAAGCTCATACCAGTTGACCATTGGCGGCACTGTTCAAACCCTTTCTAAATCAGGTGAATGTGCTGAATCCATCTTCAAAATAATCATCTCCATCTTTCAATTGGGTCAACAAGGAAAAAAATAAATTAATTAAAGCAGACTGATTTCCAAACATTCTGATAAATTTGCCCCAAACCCAAGTGGGGCAAGACGCAATCATGTGTAAAATTGAATTTAAAATGGAAGGAGGACGATGAACCTGAAAGATGGAACGTCCGCTAGGCTGACCGGAGATCCTCTTGACACCCCTTTGGTCGACTATCCTTGTTGCCCTCTCGAAGTTCTTTCCAAACAAGAAATGCAATCTGCAGTGAGTGAAACAGAAAACAAACATTTCACAGAACTGCTATAGAACCTCCGAGTAATTTCAAAAAGCGAAATGGGTGTACTAACATGGAGAGCTGCTCCTCGGTAACTGCTCACAGCACACATGTACAATCACGAAAGAAGAGTGAAGATTATTGAGTGGTGTAAAGGAGGAGATGAAAGGAAAGAGAAAAAGAAGACCTGAACCGGAGAAAGAAGAGGAGAGGACCTGAACAAGTTGACTCAACAGATTTCCACACAGACTCCGCGACCAGATGACTCGCGCCCATTCTCTGTTTCTCTACAGAATCGCAATGAGAGGCTTTCCGGGATCTGGGCCTTCATGGTCATATTTGATGACTGTAATAATATGTTACTGTTGTAAAATAAAAAAAATCAATTAGAATAAAAAAATTACATAAATAAAGTGAGATAATATAAAGATATAATATATATATATATATATTTTTTTTCCATTTATTCTCCATTTGTTTTTTTTTATATGTTTCTGTATATTTGTGAGAGTATAAGCTTCACATATGGAAACTAATAAGAAATGGAAGTTACAGAGAATTAACACTTACTAAATGAAAGATGAAAAAGATTATCTTTCAACGATTACAAAAAAATCTTATTATTACTATCTAAATGCTTACATGATATAATGAAGTGTCAATCACCGTTGCAATTGTATGAAGATAATAAAAGTTACATTATTATTTGCTTTATAAATGTCATAGTAAATGGAGAAGTAAGAGGATGAAGAAGTTGAAACATCTATAATAAATAAATTTATAACACTTACAATATTTTACTTTTAATACCAAATTCATCTAAAAAATCAAATGTTGTATGGATTTGGATAATTTCAACTATAAATTTAAACCATTTGATGGGGTAAGTTAATTAAAGTTAATTACTTCTTCTTCTTTTTTTTCATATCAAATGATAAATTATA